ATATATCCACCGACATTTTTTCATTCTTTTTGTTCTTCTTCTTCTTCTTCTTCTTTTTTTTTTTTGTTTTCTTCCTTCTTTTTTCTTTTCCTTTATAACGATTATAGCACATATATTTCCGATTATTTCTAATTTGCTAGCCTTGGGATGGTCCTTATTGAGAGCAAACCTTATGGATTATCGTTTGCAATAATGCCTCACGGCCAATTACCGTTCACCGTTGGATACTGATATACTGCAAATTAACCGACTCTCCGTTCGCCGCTTAATCAGCATATTTATTACCGCGAAGCAGTACGAGTGTAATCTCGGGGAAGTAGGAGAAGAAGATAGGTAATGCGAGGAAGAGAGAGTGAGACAGAGAGAAAGAGAAAGAGAAAGAGAGAGAGAGAGAGAAGTATGCCTAGTTCGATTTCGTGATAGGCAGGCTACGTATTTCCAACAACGTTAAATAGACATTTGTGTTTTCAGTTTGCATCGGGTAACGTTCAATGTCTTCTTTCAATTCGTTATTTACATTAAAAAATGTCATCCAATTTGTAAATTTATTTTATTTCATTTATAAATTTTTCTCATCTTATCTCCCTATCTCCCACCGTCCCTCCCTCCCTTCATTTCTCGCGCCTTCCCCCCTCCCCCCTTACCACTTAATTTTGTTCCTCTCTTTTTCTTTTTTTTTTTGTTTCTTTATTTTTGTATTTTATTTTATTTATTTGCAACGTAATACAAAAGTTATTCAATCCTTACAATATTTCGACATTGGCCAATGTAATGTTTTCTATATTATTTCAGATTGAAAGTTGACGCGTGAATGAAGTTTTAAAAAAAGCGAAAAGCAAAAAAAGAAAATGAATAAATAAATAAATAAATAAAATAAATAAGAAAAATCAAAAAAGAAGGGAAAGAAAAGGAGAGAAGAGTAGAAGGGTGATTGGTGGATGGGGATCGAGGGGTGGCGGAGAAAAATGTTAGAAATAAAAGTTGCTGCAAAATGAAAAAATGGTGAATCTTGTATTGAAATATAAAAATAATATCTAAATTTGATATATTATATATATATATATATATATATATATATATATATATCAGTCTAAATGTATAAATATATAAATTGAATGAGTATTAAGGATAAAGAAAAGTTTTGTCGACGTTCTCGTCGTATTTAAAAGTCGTCCTTGAGTATCGGTTCTCGGCCAGTATTATACAGTATATACTTGTATCCAATTTTTGCCACCTTATTCGGGGTCATAAAATTCCACCCTTCGACGATAATCCTTTCCTACTTTCGCTTTTACTCTTACCGAGCACCACATGTATATATACATATACATATATATATATATATATAAACGTATGTATCTATGTGGGTACGTACAAGCATTGGAAATATCTAACAAATCTTAGGACGTAGTAAAGTAACGAACGGAATGACATGGTACAGTCATTAAATTCAAGACGAGACCGATCTTTTTTTCCCCTCATTTTCTTTCTTTTCCTTTTTCTCTTTCTTTCTTTCACTTTTCCTTTTCCTTTTTCTTTTTCTTTTTTTCTTTTTTTTTTTTTTTTTTTTTTTTTCCCTCTTTTTATCCACTCGAATATTCCACATTCCCAGGTACAACGTCAGCAGCTTTTCATAGCTGCACTTTCAACACTCATCTTACATGCACACGAACACACATACACACAAATATATATATATATATATGTGTGTGTATATGTATTTTTACCTGTGTATTATCGCGTGCATTATCTACGAATAAGAAGGCTATCTTTCTCGCTCTTTAATATTATTTCATCGTACTTTAACTATAGGAAATAGGAACGAGTCGAATGTATAAATAAAAGCCTGGATAGAAAAAACTGCAAAACGAGCGTTTAAATACATGAACGAATTGCGATCAGGCGTTTAAATCGTTCGTACGTATGTATGTAGGTGTATGAGTGTAGGTGAAATTTACGCCCCCGCTTTCGAGACCACCCTCTTACTCTCTCTCTCTCTCTCTCTCTCTTTCTATCTCTTTCTCTCTTTCTCTTTTCTCGTTCTCTTCGTCTTTTATACGAAAGTTATCGGACTTTATCGTCAATTTTACGAGTTTATTTTTTTTCCTCCTTTTTTTTGGTTTTTTTTTGTTCGTTTTTTTTGTTTGTTTTTTTTTTTTTTTTAGTTTATTTTACTTTTGCTTTTATTTTTGTCGTATCATCGTGAATTTCACAAAAGACACCGTACTCGTAATCATTTTTTTAAATTAAAAAAAATGTCCTTGATCATTCCTTTTCTTTCTTTTTTTTTTTTTTTTTCATTTTAATTATTCTTGATTCGACATTATTTTTTTCTTTTTTTACTTTTTTTCTTTTTTTCTTTTTTTTTTTTTTTTTTGTAACTTTCTCACTAGCCTATTTCGCATTTGAATATATTTCCAAAATTTCTCTTGCATCTTTCGAAGAACATTTTTCAATATGAATGCTCGACGATATAATAACATTATATAAATATATATAT